TGGAATGATTTTTTTCTGTTAAAATTATTCCCACACTGCATTTCGCAGTTCAGGGATGTGTTCCATTCTTTTTAAGCAGTACCATGTACATATATTATGTGTTATGTATTGGTTGCTGTGTTATGTACATTATTGTGTACAATAGAGCCATTTTGATGTACCTGAAAAGCAACTCAGTAGGGCCACACCGATTTATTTATTTGGTTCTTGGACATTTTAAGTGAAAATATAGCAGGGTGACATCATGAATCAAAGTAGAGGGTAGGGAGGAAAGCTAAAATATGACTAAATTCACTCCACAAAACTGAGTGCACCAAGGCACAAACCTGGTCCTCAGGCTACGTAAGCATGTTTTTCCAGTTAAGCCAAGAACCAGCCAATTAAATTGGTGTGGCCAAGTGAAGAAAATCTGTCTTGTGTAGTTGAGGCAGAACCTTGCCAGCTTGGCCACGCTAGATAGAACAAAAACAGGTTGAACAAAAATTTTGGAGAAAGATAGAGTTGACTATTTTATTGACTGAGAATGGGTAACGAGTTGCTTGAGCTGTGTGACTGAAAATATTATGTGTTACATAGATGGACTTATGTTACACAAAATACAGAATGTCCTGTACTCCTTTGGAATCAAACTGGTGATATGAAAAAAAATTGAAAACTAGTTTGTATGTAGAGCAATAGAAAAAGTTACAAGTGAGAAATTTTACCGAGCTGCAAGTCAAGGAATGAATGAATGAATGATTCAAAGGAAGTGTGTGTATTATGGGACCACTGGAGGTTTAATGCACCAGTGAACTGGAAATTTCCAACCTGCTCGAAGAAGAGTTCAGCTTAACTGTTGTAATTCCAATTGCTACATGTACGTTTAGACTGAATCCACGGTGTGCTGTTACGGGTCGTCTCACTTGTTGATTTACATCATCATGTTCATCAGATACCGGTATATACAGTTGATACACATCATAGTGGTGTATATGGGATCCTCCTGTTTACCTTCACTCTTACCAGCTGTAGGCTCCTCTTGGACAAAAGTTCTCAAGTTAAGCTGGCATCACACAGTGAAGAACATTTGGCTGAATTTGCTATTGCCAGACTGTCACTGAATCTCAAAATTGCCAGAGTGAAGCATATATTTAGTCTGACTATCTATGGTACCTTTTACATTCTATGGGGCTCTGTGACCTGCAAACATCAACAAAATTGTGCAGTGATTAAGAGGACACCGGCCAAAAATGTCCTCTTGTTCAACGACTCGTCGGCTGAGCTTTCTTCCTGCTGTGTGATGCCAGCTTTAAGGTGTTGATGTTAACATGTAGTTGGTATGATTCTTTGTAGTTACACTAGATATTAGGATATAGCCAGCAGTGAACAAGTCCGAATGAACTTAAATGTAGCTGAGCTGAATTGTTATGTATGTTTGCCATGTATAATTGCTGTACATTGTGTAGCTTTGTGTTTCTTCTTGTTTGGGAACCATTTGAAGACATCAGAACCAACATTGCAGGGCTCTTTAAACAGGTGTTATCAAGTACTGAAACATTGAATGTCAAGAATTGAGCAGAGCTGCTTGCAATGCACAGCAAAATTGTAGCCTCCTGTGCAGGCCCTGCAGCGGTGGGGAAGAGTTTTTAACGCGTTATTTTAATATAGCCGGCCATCCTACATAGCCGCTGAGAGGTTCCTTTCCGCCCACGGAATGGCTTCTCTCAGCGGCTATGTAGGATGGTCGGCTATATTAAAATAACACGTTAAAAACTCTTCCCCACCGCCGCGGGGCCTGCACAGGAGGCTAGCAAAATTGTTTCTCAAAGACAGTCTGTTTGTTAAATGTAAAAGCATAGTCCAATGTTTTATTACGTCTGTAGTGAGCCCAGCAGTGTATGGTAGGACACTAATAGCAAATGTGTGTGTATATAACTAAGCCTCTTCTCCTTGGAGGGTGAAGACTTGGTGCCACTATGAACTAAGGATTTGTTTCTGTTGCACTGTCTAGGAATACCCGAGATGTGGGTATATTGCGGTGACGGCACTGCGATGTTGATATAAATGGAAAAACAAACTTTCCCCAACACATCATTCCCATCTTCTGTTGGCTGAGAAAACCAACACAAGAACCCATAAAGGCAATAACCAGTACGACAAAAAACTGTAACATACTACACGGCCAGCTGCATGTCTTAGTTTTGTTTCATTTGTGTAAAAATTCAAGCTATCCATGTCGTGTTATTGTTCCCTGTGGTTGAACTACAGAAACAGACTGACTTCCAGCTTGCGAATATTTATGTACCTTGTGCTGCAGCATGGGTAGAGCAAGTCCGTACATTTTTCCAAAATGACTTGCAATTTCTTTGATAGTAAAGCTATTGTATTATATAATCCATACTTTATTTTAGCAGCTTATTCTTGCTGATTGTGAATACAGTAAATGCCGCTAATGTGAACTGATTTAGTGTGGATTTTCTTTTGTTAACCGTTCTGAAAATTCTGGTAATGCAACAGTCACAGTTTCTGCCCAGGGCCTGGCCATTGGTTTGATATAAAAGTATGATATCAAAGACAACAAAACACAAAGTTGTAAAAAATAATCTCAAGCTATTTGTGTACATGTATATCATTGATAAAATATACGGATTTGTTATTTGGCTGATGCAAACTGCCAGGCCGGGTATGGTTTGGTGACCTTAGAACACCACACAACAGTGGGATTAATGGTGAATCTATATGACTGATGTGTTACAGGAGG